GAGGAATCTTTTTTTTTTTTTTGGTAATACTTTAAAATAATGTCCTATTAGTTAACGCTGCATTATGTAACTTTTGCCTCTCTATCGCCATCTCTGTTTGAAACATAAAACGTCTCCGGTTACCTAACATAACCTCGGTTCCCTGCAAGGAGGGAACGAGACACTTAGGGGTTATCCCCTCCTTCCTCAAATCTACTGAAGCCTTATGAAATCTCGCGGGAGAGAATTTGGCCACCAATGGCGTTCAAGTGCACGAAATAGAGGTGGGTTCCCCCGCACTATCAGAATCTTTGGACTGAAGCAGAGTGCAGCTGACAAAGACTCTGAGCTATGTAGCACGGCAGCGTACGCAGTGTCTCGTTCCCTCCTCTCAGGGAACCGAGGTTACGTCAGGTAACTGGAGACGTTCCCTCTCAAGACAGTCTCTCGACACTGTGCCATTGACGATGTCGCTTTGGGGATCTCATAAAATCCCGCCTTGTTGATAGAGAAGGTCCAGATCGGCTGCAAGCAAAGATGCAGACCTCAGCTAAAAGTACTTCACACAACGGAAGACCTCATAAGCTCAGCAGCATAGTAGCTATAAGAGCAAGTTGCACAAGCATTAGACTACAGCAAACACATCGCAGAGGAAAGGTCAGCAGTCCCCCGCCTGCATCCTGGATTAACCATACACTCACTTCCAGCATTCATGTTGGCGCTTGTCTCCAGAATGCGTTAGTAGCTATTCAGCACCGCAAACACATGGATAGTTGACGGCACTATCCCTTAGCAGTTTACCCTGGGATTTGGGACATCCACAGTGTGAGCACCACACCGTCACAGTGTGCTGGTGGCCAAATAATGCATGCGGCAGCAACACAGACACTATTGCATAATGTTGCAACTGGTGGCAAGCCTGACCGTGCTGGGCTGTTAATGGTGGCGGTCGTGCCAACACCTAGTACTGATGTCCGCTGCAGCGGGGATGCCGATGCTGTCATGAACATAATGCATGCAGGGTTAACACCATGCAGATGAACACAAAGGCAGCAGTAGTGCTAATCCCCAGTCAGTATTTACACTATTTAATCGAAATCTGCCAACTCGGGCAGGGGCTGCAACAATTTAAGACAAATGCTGAACATTGATTTCAGCTAGCTTGATTCCTAGTCCTTGACAACCTAGTTGAACACCACTTTTCAGGGGCATCAACAACTGCCGTAATAGTCCACATGACCTATTTGACACCATCCACAATCTCAGTTCAAGTTGTAGACATAATACTCTTGCAAAAGCAAACTCGCGATGCGAGTGTGGAAACATTCAAATCACAGAACTGACCAGAGTGCCCAGCACGAGTTGATCATGTAGAAGGGCAAGAGGTGATCAGCCACCTTATGCCATTCGAAATTCTTATTGACAGGACATTCTGCCGGGCAACTATAAATATGATGGGGTCATGCCATTATAGTGGTATAATTAAAACAAGGAGGGCATACAGTACTCTTGCAAAAAGTCAAGGTGACTAACAGGGGCTATCTGACCATAAAGTAGAAATATTCAGGCCCACTGATATAATCCAGTCCCCTGGCCAAACTAAGGGTCTGTCTCAATGCGCTCACTTGAATGCACGTTTCAATAGATATATTATGACTGCACAGCGGAACGATCTGGACACAAAGGCCATTACAGTTCCTGTCACCTACAACGAGCGGGGGACATGAGAACAGACATAAGAGAGCTGACAGTCTCGCTATCGTCGCCTTATGAGTTAGAGCAGAGCAAAGCACTCTGCCAAAGCCACAGCCATCAGCCTGAGTGCTTCCCGAGAACTCTTAGAGGCAGAAACTTCTCGGCTTGAAATGAACGGAAGTATAAGTTACAAACTGTGAGCGCCCCTGTGAAATGTGAGCTTGCATCACAACAAAGTCCAGTTGCACTCTCTGGGTGGTTGAGAAGCAGAAGTCTGGGATGGTTTACACTCCCTGAATGGACTATGATCCGTCAATCGTCCAGATTCATTCAGCGCGTGAGCTCCACTCATTTAGAGGGGAGAGAGCCGCATTCAAACAACACTGGACTAATGAAATGCAGAGTGTGGTAATAATAAGCAACAAGCGTATTGGTGCATACAACATTAATCAAGCTCTTACGAGTGACATATATTCACAGCGTCCAGCATAAATCTGCAGGAAGAACCAAGTTCATAAGCACAAAAACAGGGCAGATAGCTACAGCTGTAGCACCTGAATACTACTGAAATAATAGAACACAGAAAGCTTGTCATTAATGCATCAGTTTTGCATATGCAGTAGCTATTAGTGCGAGCAATGGCACTGCACATCGGCCTAAATGACCTAGTTGAAACACGTGCCAAAGAGGGGCGTGGCCACGAAACCTCTTAGTCATCCAATGGCTGCTCAGCCATCTTTCCCTGCACAGACAGAACATGCGGTGTGAAAAAGGAACATTTTCAGGTTATAAAACCTAACATCCTTGTGGAGTGGAGATGAATCTCTATTGGGCAGTCAAATCTATGAAGCAACATCAGAAACAATCGTGATACTCTGAACCTAGAGGCAGGCATTCTCCAAATGCCCTGAAATAACAGTCCTCCGGCCAGCCTGCGAGAGGAACTGTTTCAGCACGAGCAGTCCAGGGGAGCATTCTGATAATGCACTCTCTGGAGTCCCCGGAAGAGCATGTCACACCTCCATACAATCTGACGGGGCTAAATAACAGTCGCGTAGAGCGAGTGTAGAAAGACATAGAGACATAGCGTAGAGAGACAGAGTGTACCATGACTAGTGTAAGCGACACTACACCCCAGCTGGTGTTTAACATAGAAAGGCGAAGAAGCGCACCACCAGCACAAGTAGCAGTAACGTACGCAACACACTTCCTCCCAAAAGCAGCAACACAGCCAGTGCTTATGTAGAAAGCAATGAACAGAGGCAGCGCCAGCGTGCACAGTAGCTAATGTACGCAGCAATATACACCCACATAAACAACAGCTGCGCCACCGGTACTTATCACAGGAGGCGATGAACGGTGGCCATGTCAGCATGAATTATGGATAGTGTAAGCAATACTTCACACGCATATGAGAAAACAGAGGCAAAGCCAGTGTTCAACACAGAAGGCAACAAAAGCAAGTGGCCGGAGCATTTTATATAGGACAGACTGCCGATTTGAGAGGGGGGGCTGCTTATATTGCACGAGCGAGTGAGTGGGTGGGTGGGTGAGAGGAATGTGGATGCTTAGTCAGCATGAGCTCATCACCGGAGTCCATTAGGTCCACCACTGTTATTGAGGGCAGACAGACTCGCGCAGCGCTGCTTCTGAGTGGGCATCACCCGCTTTCTCTTTTTGACTGCAGACTCTCCACAGTTTGAGGTTTCTTAGTTTTGACAACAGGTTCCTCAGATGTTAACGACAAATGCGGTTTAGAACTTTACAGATTAAAAGCAGCCATTGAGATGACCCATTTAAATTCTAAGCGACTGTTGTAAGAGCATGCTACAAACGTTCCACACACACGCCATATTGTAGCTGGGTCTTCTTTCTGTTTACAGATGTGACATCTCCATGCAAAGATGAATGAAGTAATTTTCCTGCAAAATCGGACCCAACAACTAAAAGCCCAGCAGGCTTGTGGGAGGTTGAGACATTTAGCATCATGAAGATTACAGTGATCAGTTATTACTTTGAAAGGCTCCCTCCAGCCAGTGTCACCACTCCTCTAGTGCAAGCTTGATAGGAGCTCCCATTTTCCGATGTCATAGTTTTGCTCTGCCGGGGATAGTTCTTGAAGTAGAAGGCACATGGATGGAGGATGGGAGGCTTCTGTGATGTTGGGACAGGACTGATCCTACCCCGACCGTGGAAGCATCTACTTCGACAACGAAAGGGAGCTGTGCAGGCTTCCTTGAACTGATGGAAGGCGTTGATGGCATTGGGCATCCAGGACGGAGACTTGGACTTATCCCTGAGGAGTGAGGTGAGAGGTGCACAGATTTGGCTGAAGTTGGAGATGAATCGACGATTGAAATTGGCAAAATCTAGGAAACGTTGGAGTTCTATGGTGGTGGTTGAGGCCAAACTCTGACAGCTTGTACCTTTCTCTGGTCCATGTGAATGCCATGGTGGCGATGATGTAACCGAGGAATTGGATGGCCTCACGGTGGAACTCACACTTCTCCAGTTTTGGATGGTCTCACGGTGGAACTCACACTTCTCCAGTTTGAGGTACAGATGGTGCTCTCTCAACTTCTGAAGACCGGTTTCACGGGGTGGAAATATTCGACCAGGTTCCAGGAGTAAATGAGGATGTCGACGTACATGATCACGAAGCGGTGGAGGTACTCCCGGAACACCTCATTCATGAATCCCTGGAAGACAGAGGGTGAGTTGGAGAGGCCATACGGCATCACCTGATATTCATAGTGGCCTGATGGTGTTACGAATGTGGTCTTCCATTCATCACCCTTGTTGATCCGAATGAGGTTGTACACGCTACGCAGGTCTAGCTTGGAGAAGATGCGAGCCCCACGTAGCTGTTCCAGGGAGGCAGGGACCAGAGGAAGTGGATACCAGTACTTGACACTCTGGGAATTCAGGACCCAGCAATAAATGCAGGACCTCAAGCTTCCGTCCTTCTTACCGATCTAAAAGAAACTGGATGCGGCTGGTGAAGTAGAAGGGCGGATAAATTATACCCGTCAGTAGCATGGCCCCAGGCAGCTGATCAATTGGCTGCCTGCTTGGTGAAGACATCCTGGAACACCCTGTAATCTCGTGGAATCTCTGGAGGTTCTGAGGTTTCTGGACTCTCAATTGTGACCTTCCTTGTCATGGGTGATTATTGTTGATCTACGGGAGGTGCAGATGATTTCTGAACAGTTCAGACAGATATACAGTTTTGGATGCAATCATCACTCCATTGTAGGATATCACCAGTGTTCCACTTCACCTTATGGGAATGTTGAGTCAACCAAGGCTGTCCCAGGATGATGTCAGCAGTTGAACCCTGCAGCACTAGAAAGGAGATGTGCTCTTGAGGCAGACAACTGATGCGGAGAGTGATGGTGGATGTGCAGTACTGGATTTTGCCTTTGCCCAGCGGTTTTCCCAGTATACTGTGAATGTTTAAAGCTTGAGAACATGTTTTCCTCTTGAGGTTGAGTTGTCGAAGAAGGTTCAGCAAGATGAAGTTCCTGGCGGATCCCGAGTCGAGCAGGGCTTGTGCTGAAATAGATCTGTGAAAGTGGTTACCAGTACGGTAGTATGAGTTAATGGAGCAATCATGGGTTGTAACTGAAGGGTACTAATCGCTGGGTGTGGTGGATGGACAGGACAGGCGGATATCAGATGCCCGGATAGACAGAACCTGTTATTCATTCTCCGTTGACGCTCCGAGGTTGAAGGTCTTGACGGATAGCTTGCACAAGCTCAGCGAACGGGTCCAGGTTCTGATCACCACTTGACTCTGTGTTATGTTGCATTTTTGTTGGTCTGGTCTTCTGTCAGCAAACAGAAAGAGACAACAAATGTAAATGACGGTCTAAAGGCCTTTACACACTGAGCACGAAAAAGCGAAACGAATATCAGACACGATGACGCTCTCGAATAAAACAATAGATTTCTATGGATGCTTCCACTTAGACCATGAACATTCATGCACCGAAAATGCAAATTTTTTTTTTTTAACCAGTCCGATCAGTTTCGCAAAGCGAAAACATGGGCCATCCAATAAGATTTGAGCTAGGGTCATGTGACCGGAGCAGCTGCTGTTGCACAAAAAAACTGTTTCGAAAACCAGTGTAAACAAACACAGAAGAAGAGTATCCCGGATAAGAGAAGAGAGTGGAAGCTGAGTTCTTGTTATCGTTGGTATTTGAGAACAGATTTATTCTCACGTTCTTTATACAGAATAACATTTCTATTCATTGTCCACTGAATTATGTGATCTGTAGAGCACCGTCCATTTTCTTCCATGTGCGCGAGTGTTATGAGTCAGAGCGCGTTCACTCTTTTTCTAAAAATGAAATATGAAAGCAAATAGACATATGATTATGACTATATATTTTCTGTATGTGTTTTGTATGCAGCTCATGGTATTTTTATAGCAATAAAGGATGTTTATGACAAATATTAGCAGTGTAGCGTTATTAAACATACAAAGAGTGCATGTGTCTGCTTATTAATCAAAATCAACTATAGATCACAACTGGATCTATTACAAGCTCTCGATGATGGTTTAAAGTAGGTAAGCAAATACATTAATAATTACATACATTTTCAAGAGTAGCTTGATGCTAATTTTACTTCTAATTATATTTTAGGAAGTAGCCTATTCTTGTAAGCATTATAGATAGTTTGTTTCTGGTGTAGAACCTTGTTTATCTTAATTTAATGCTGTATATTGAGCAGCGGATGATGGTACATCCATTTACGAGATACATATCTGAGGAAAAATGCACTGTTGGTTGGCACCACCTAGTGTGCAGGCATGAATTAGAAGAAGGCACTTTTTTTTTTTTTATTAAAAATACATTTTATTTACAGGCTTCAGGAGAGGAGCAAGTGATGATCACAGGTGAGATAATATAGTCGATAATCTTGAGCAAAGAATTAGCTGAACAGTCACTGAAGTTTCTTTTCAGGGTGAGGCAGAGTGGAACAGAGTGCTTGGAGGAAGACAGGTAGGTAGAGCGGGTAAGTAGCCAGATGAGTTGATGCACGCTAGTGAACAAGACCATACACTGAGGTGGTAATAGGAAGATGGCGTTATATTGTGAGTGCTGACAGTTGAAGTGCATCAGAATTCTGGTGATTTTGAATGAGTGGGTGAAGCTGAAGAGCTGGTGTTGCCGGTGACTCCATGACAGTATGAATGAATGAATGAATACTGCAGCTTTAAAATTAATGTTTTAACTAGCATTAGCAGTATTTATTATTTAGCAGTATATATTCATTTATAATTAAAAATGTTCATTGTTAGTTCATATTAGCTCATTTCCATTAATTCATATTAAAAGATACAACTTAATTGTTAGTTGTTAGTTATGTTACCTACCTTAGTTAACAAATGTTAACAAATGAAACTGTATTGTAAAGGGTTACCTTTTTTTTTTTAGTAGTAGTTCGTTGTAGTATGAAGAAGTTCATTGTAGTATGAAGACATATGCTGTAACTCAAAACTTCAAGTGTCAAAAATGACTATTTATGGAAAAATAAATGTGAAAAAATTGCAGACATATGTTTAACAAAGCAGTGAATGAAAAATGAAAGGCAGGTCAAACAAGAAAAAAATGTTCCTACAGCCGATAAACAAACACAGGCAGGGCCGGAAACTAGGGGTTATAAACCAGGAACGCAAACATCACACAGACTGACTTACTATAAATTGGCAGGCAGAAACACATAATCCAGCAGAAAAGCAATGTAATCCAAGACCAAACAAATGGGATAAGACTTAACAAACAGTATACAGCAGGACTGGCGCTGGGAAACACAATCTGGCAGACAACAGGAGAATGAGGAGGATGTAAATAGATAGAGAAATGAGACACAGGTGAAGTAAATGAGGTCAGGTGATCCGCAAAACTGAATAAATAAATAAATAAATAAATAATCATAAAAACATGATATATGTAAAAAAAATCATGAAAAAGAGAGGAAAAATAGCTTTTTTGATCCATTACAACTGACTACCTTGGGTTCCAAGGGATGTAGAATTTAGATGGGGGGTAGGATATGGCATTATTTTCACACCTGAACCTTAATTCATAAGTTTCCACCTTTTCAGAAAAAGGTGAGGCTCTCATTAAGGCCACTTAAGGAGGATCTAATGACCTTCCAGACACAAAATGAAGAGTGTCTTAGGACAACACAACTCATCAAGGTACTGGACACAATCAACAGAGTGTAACTTCATCTATATATCACATTAAATGTGAAAGGAGTGAAATTATTTCCTTATGAAATTAACTCTTCATGAAGCCAATACTCAGGAACTCACAAAACACAAAACAGACGCCATGCAATAAAACAATGAAACAAGTATTTTTTAGTATTTTTAAAATACAAAAATACAGTAGTTTATTTTGATACTTGGTGTGGCTGCTGTATTTTGTAGTTTATTTTGATACACTTAAAATTGAAAGGAGTGAAATTATTTCCTTATGAAATTAACTCTTCATGAAGCCAATACTCAGGAACTCACAAAACACAAAACAGACGCCATGCAATAAAACAATGAAACTTATCTGGAGAAGAAATGGAGTGAACACGGACAAAGGCGTTTCATTCATTCATAACTCATCCATACCCGACACAGTTTTGCAAAGGGCCCCCAGAAGTCTAGGATCGGCTCTGAGTATAAACTATATAATTTAAGAATTTGAAGTACTCTAAAAGTGCACATTCAGTACAACTAAGCACACTTCTTTTTCACAAGGAATAGCTACACAACTATTTGGTTTGCAGTTTCTTTCTAATGTTCAGCACGATGCCTCTGGAAAACATGTTTTGGGTGACTTTAACAAATAGATTCTCTTTCATATATTACATTTTGACTACCACCAGTTCCTTCCAGGTGAAAGAAGTGAATTTATTTCCTTATGAAACTTATCTGGAGAAGAAATCTTCAAAGAGAGCAAACAACATCCCTCTCCTCGCTCATTTACGACCCCCTTCTACACACGGATACAATATGTTTCACAATTGCATTATCCTTCCTAAATTGTCTTCTAATTATTTAATTGGCATGATACAATTTTACCTGACCAATAATACATTGTTATATTTGATTTATTCGGATCTCTTCTGAAATTATTTTTCAAGTAGATTATTGTGTAGTCTAACATTTCCGCAAATCTGCATCCAGGACATATCATACTTAAGTACCAATGAGCGGGGCAGGGGGCTCTCCATTAGGGATCTTATGATTTCTGTCTGTCACCTGGCTTAACAAGTTACAGCTCTCGTGATTATAGGAAAAATACACTTTTTGTTATTTGCTAGCAGGGTGCGGCACTTAAAGGTATTATAATCACCCTGTATCCTCTGAGTACCTTACAGAACTGGCGAGTTTGTGTCCGTGAGTTCACAGTTGGCCGAGTGAATTTCTAAGCGATGTTAGGTCCTTAATGAATGAATAATTGAAAGTATGGGATTTCCAGAATACTCAAATATCTAAATTAATAAACAATCAATATTTGTGATCAGTTTTTAATTAGAAATATTGCCTAAATTTAATGATCACTTGAAACTGGATTCAGATTGAAAACGGAGCTAGACTAAAATTGAAACTAAAGAAGCGCAAGTAAAAGACCGAATACGCATTAAACCTTCGACCAGGCCGCTGGATTCCGCTGTTTTGGGCTGGTGGGTGGATTCTTACAAATGAGATACACTGACTGAAAAATTTTCCCCAGGAACAAACCAAACTTACTAGGAATTTGATTAAAAAGGATTTTGAGCAGCTGCATCACTTCCTGCGGCTGGAGGAAGCGGCACGGATCTCAATGCTGGAAGATGAAGCAGAGATGAAAAGTGAAATCATGCAGGAGAAATTGGAGGATCTCAGCAATAAAATAGTCAGCTTCTCAAACACCATCCGAAACAAAGAGACAGATCTAGAAAGAGAAGATATCCAGTTCCTCCAGGTAACCAGACAATAATGCATAAAACAAGCAGTGCTTCCTGTGGGACACTTACCTCTAAAATATATTTTGTAATTTATGCTATTTAAGTTTGCAATATTTATTGTAATTGTTGTTTCTTCCATTCCTTTTAGGCTTATAAAAGCTACACTGACAGGTAATATGAGGGTGAATCAAAAAAAATAAA